TTTCTTTCTTTTTCTTGCATATTATATTGGCTAGGACCTAAAAAACAATGTCTAGTGGAAGTGATAAGAACAGAGTCTTGTCGCATTTTCTGATCCTAGACTTAAAACATTTAGGCTTTCACTATCAAATGTACTAATGGTTATGTTTTGTAGGTGCCCATTATAAGCTTTAGAAGGTTTCCTTCTATTCCCAGTTTGCTGAGAGCTTTTATCGTAAATGTATACTGGACTTTCTCAAATGCTTTTTCTACATCTATCTGCCCCCTGGCTCCAACGTTTTACATTTTTCCCACATGCAAAATACATTCATCCTCATCCAAGGCCTCAAAAAATCTCATTCTATAACGGCATCTGCTTGAAGTCAGGATCTCATTACTTAAATCAGGTTTAGGTGCAGTTGAGGCTCCTTGAATAAGTCTATCTTGATTGGAAGACCCAGGAACTAAAGAGACAAGTTATCTGACCCCACAGCCAACATACCATGATGGGACATAGGATAACCACTAAAGACCCTCCCCTTGGGTCATGGATTTATCTATTCCCACTGGAAATGTGTGATGGTTCCTAGGCACAGAAATTCAGACATGTATTTTATTAGAGTAAATGTCTGGGTTACCAAAATATCAGTTTTCTAGCTGAATGGCCAAATGCTGGCATGTTACAGGTAATAGAACTGGACAGACTTGAAGCATGGCTCAGAGGGAACTCAGGCAACAAGGAAACCAGTAACGGAATCAAAGCCCACTGCAAAGATAACTCAATGCTGTGCCCTCAGAATGAGCGGCTAGAACAACCTTTGTAACTCCTTTCTATCTCAAGTCTGGATTGTTCCTAGAAATAAGGTGCACTGGGATGAAGTAGATAGAAAATTAGTTAAGGGTAAGAGTTCAATTATGGTAGTTTTCTCATAAGGACCCTCTTTTTTGTTAGCTTCACGATCAATGAAAGTTCAGGTTACAAAATCTACATATAAAAATCAGTAGCATTTCTATACACTAACAACGAATTATCTGTGAGAGTAAAAAGAAAATGATGCCATTTACAATATCACTAAAAGCAATAAAATATTTAGGGATAAATGTAACCAGGGGGGTGAAAAATCTCTACACTGAAAACTACAAGACACTGATGAAATAAATCAAAGAACATACAAATAAATGGAAAGAAACTTCATGCTCATGGATTGGGAGAATTAATATTGTTAAAATGTCCATACTACTCAAAGCCATCTATAGAGTCAATATAATCCCTATCAAGATTCCAGCGGCACTTTTTACAGAAGTAGAAAAACAATCCTAAAAATTATATGGAGCCACAAAGTCCCCCCAAAACCAAAGCAATCCTGAGAAAGAAGAATAAAGCTGCAGGAATCATACTTCCTGATTTCAAACTATATTATAAACCTATAGAGTCAAAACAGTATGGTGCTAGCATTAAAAACAGAGACCTAGACCAATGGAACAGAATCAAGAATATGGTCAACTAATATTTGACATGGCAGCCAAGAATACTCAATGGAGAAAAGACAGTCTCTTCAATAAATGGTGATGGGAAAATTGAACAGTCACATATAAAAGAATGAAACTAGACCCCTATCTTACACCACTCATAAAATTAACCCAGAATGGATGAGGGACTTAAATGTAAGACAGGAAACCATAAAACTAGATGAAAACATAGGGAAAAAGCTTCTTGACATGGGTCTTGACAATGATTTTTTTTTTGGATATGACACCTAAAGCACAAGTAACAAAATAAAAAATAAACAATTTGGGACTGCATCAAACTAAAAAACTTCTGCACAGCAAAAGAAATAATCAACAAAATGAAAAGGCAACCTACAGAATGGGAGAAAATATATGGAAATCATATATGTGATAAGGGGTTAATATCCAAAATACATAATGATCTCATAAAACTCAATAGCAAAACCCCAAATAATCCAATTAAAAAATGGGCAGATGATATGAGTAGACATTTTTCCAAAGAAGATGTTCAAACGGCCAACAGGTACATGAAAAGGTGCTCAACATCATTAATCCCTGGGAAAATACAAATCAAAACCACAATGAGAGATCACCTCCCACTTGTTAGAATGGGTTGCCACTGAAAAGACAAGAGGTAACAAGTGTTGTCAAGGATGTGGAAAAAAAGGAACTCTTGTGCACTTGTTGGTGGGAATGTAAATTGGTGCAGCCGGTATGTAAAACAATACACAGGTTTCTCAAAAAATTAAAAATGGAACTACCATATGATTCCACTTTTGGGTATTTATCCAAAGGAATCAAAACACTATCTTGAAAAGATATATGCATCCCATGTTCGTTGAAGCGTTATTTACAATAGCCAAGACATGAAAGCAACCTAAAAGTCCATTAATGGATGAATGGGTAAAGAAGATGTGGTATATTTACCCAATGGAATATGATCCAGCCATAAAAAAGAAGGCAATCTTGCCATTTGAGACAACATGGATGGACCTGGAGGGCATTATGCTAAGTGAAACAAGTCAGATAGACAAAGACAAATACTGTATGATCTCATATATGTGGAATCTTAAAAAACAACAACAACAACAATAATAAAAAACTCATGGATACAGAAAACAGATTGGTGGTTGCCTGAGGCAGGGGGTAGAGGTGGGACCAAAATGGGTGAAGGTGATCAAAAGGTACAAAGTTATAAGATAAGTAAGTCCTGGGGACGTAATGTACAGCACAGTGACTGTAGTTAACAACACTGTATTGTATATTTGAAAGCTGCTAAGAGACTAAATCTTAAAAGTTCCCATGATACGAAAAAAATTATGACGGGTATTCCCTGGAGGTCCAATGGTTAGGAATCCATGCTTTCACTGCCGCAAGCTGTGTTGCACAGCCAAAAGGAAAAAGAAAAAAACTGTGTAACTTCATGTGATGATGGGTATTAAGTAACTACACATATTGTGGTGATGATTTTGCAATATACACATGTATCAAATCAATCATTATGCTGTATACCTGAAACTAATACGATGTTATATGGCAATTATATCTCAATTTGACCAAAAAAAAAAAGGATAAAGGAAAGCCACCAAGCATAGGAATCACAGAAAGATTCAAAATTATTTCATATGCTTCTCCTAAAACTAAGGGTACATCATTCCATACTTTATTGCTTACCTATACTTACTGATCCTGCCTTTTTACTACAACCTCTTTGACTTTTTAAACTAGGCTCTTAATAGTCCAGAAAATAAACTGTATTGAAAACAGTAATAGACAAGCATGGAACAAAAACCCTTCAGGGAGCACGTCTTTTAATTTTTACAAAGTGACTCTGGTCAACCCCACCTTCTTCCACTCCTCCATCTGGCCACAATCACAAATCTCCATTTCTGGAAAAAAGCACTGTAGCAACAAAGAAAGCCCTAATAGCCACAAAGCCAGCCTCCCTTCCAAGTGAATAACAGAATCCCTTGGTGGGGGGAAGGGGGTGCCAAATAGTGATCTTGTTGGGCCCAAAGTTATGCCATGGAAACCCAGTCCTAAGAAGAACCTTAAGTACACTCCTTCTACTGAAAATATGAGCCTCCAGACCAGCTCTGAACACGCTAAAGGCTCTTGTGCTGTCGTGAGGTTTGCGACGCAAGATCTTGCTGCTTGGCAACAAGCGTGGTGCTCAACTTCTAAACAGCAAAATAAAACATGATTGGTTCCCCATGGGCAATATAATAGCACCAGTTAACCGCTTACAGTTCAAATAGAGCGGCAAAGTAATTCACAAACTGTGTAGTCCGTTCCTAGCATAGGCACGAACTCATTGATGGAGTAGTTTAATTTCTTCTCTGATACTGCTAACAAACTGACAGTTTAACATCTGCTTCCCACTCTATAAAAACACTTTGTATTTTAATGACAATGTGCACATTTAGTTGTTTGTTTTCAGAAGCAACTCCTGGACTGGGGGGAATGACAGAAGAGGAAGGGGGTGGGGCAGAAATCGACCACGTATACTCAGTTCATGGAGATGACTTTTATACGCCAGGGGTTTAAAAGTAAAGAGTTCAAAATAACACATTTGTTAACACATGGTTTCTGTGGATAGCTAACCATAATTTTTTTCCTGGCCTGCATTCCCAAGTTGGTTTCATAGAAGGCTTTATTGTAGTCCCAGAGCATTGTTTTGCATTAATTTCTATGACAAGGCACCCAAAACACATGGTGCTGAGAGTAACAAAACAGAGTTAGGGAAACAGTCATGACTTGGCACAAAGTGTGACAAGCTGTAAAAAAGGGAATGTTTCAATATCTGAAGTGGTGTTGATTTCCTATGAACAACCTTTTCTCTTCTAAACAGTATCATATTCTTTTCAAGCACATTTAGAACGCAAGTCAAGCTGTGTTTTATTTTTGATTATAATAAACACAGTCAGTTTACTGTAACAAAGACATAGTAGTGGTGATCAGTTGAAAGCCAAAGTACGACACCATGAGCTGGACGGGGGGTGAAGTCAGGGAGCCTGGGGGGGGGGGCGGGCGGGTAGTCAACTGATAAAATAAAAGACCAGCCGTCTGGAAAGTTCGCTTAAAAGAACATAAAAAGGCAGTGTTTTCTTATGAGACTAACACAGAATGCCAAAATATCTGGCTGGGCTCTTTTTTGTTGTCACTTATGGCAATTTGTAACTAAAAATAGTAAATCCTTCAAAATACTGGGCTCTCATATTTGTTTTTTTAATCCCTATAATAAAATACAAAAATTTTGTACACTGCTTTAAATTGTAATACTCTTTCTTGTATAAGACTCTTCTACATTGTACGTATATTTATTAAAGAACTACTCAAATTGTTTTCTCCAAAACAATCATTAAAAAATGTTTATAATTACGCATGCATTTAGATTATGGATAAAGGTGAAATGAAGAGTTCACAGTAAACAGTTACAAATAAAGTTTATAAAACTTTCATGATTAAGTTCCTGGATTCAAATTTATTAAGAAATAATGTAAATCCCCTTACCATTTCTTGCACTAATGATTTTTCAAACTCAAGCTCACATAGTAATTTGTCTCTGCCATTGACTAGCTGAAAGAGAGGAATATTACATTTTGATTAAAGGTAAGAAAATACTCAAGAGTCCTCCTCAGTGAAATCTAGTGAAACATTTTGATTCTAAATGTGAGGAAAATGGATTCCAATATGATCAAAGCAAAAATTAAATGTCCATAGATTACCATGTAATAATGATATACTACTATATAATTATTTTTATTATATAAGCAAGCAAAACATACATAAAAATGCCAATTTATTTACAACCTTTCTCACCCTACCCCCCAAAAAATGTGACTCAATGTCTAATAAAGCAAGTCCTACTCTATCAAAAAGAGCAATTTTGCTTTACTCATTATATGAACCATTTCTCTTATTTTAGGTTTTGGTGCTATATTTATATGCATATCAAGCCATATTCATAACAATTGAAAACAGCCATCAAAGCATATACTGCAGGGCCTTTGTACCAACTTGACTTGCTTCAGTATTTTATTTTTTATAAATTTATTTTACTTTATTTATTTTTGGCTGCGTTGGGTCTTCACTGCTGCGCACGTGCTTTCTCTAGTTGCGGTGAGCGGGGGCTACTCTTCGTTGCAGTGCGTGGACTTCTCACCGTGGTGGCTTCTCTTGTTGCGGAGAACAGGGTGCATGGGCTTCAGTAGTTGCAGCACGCAGGCTCAGTAGTTGTGGCTCACGGGCTCTAGAGTACAGGCTCAGTAGTTGTGGCGCACGGGCTTAGTTGCTCCGTGGCATGTGGGATCTTCCTGGACCAGGGCTCAAACCTGTGTCCTCTGCATTGGCAGGCGGATTCTCAAACACTGCGCCACCAGGGAAGCCCCACCTCAGTATTCTAAATGATCATTTGCAATTTGCATGTAGTATATACACTGACAAAATTCAACCCTTGGTTTTGACATCCATTCAATTCAATTAACTCATATATTCATTAATTTAATAAACATGTATGGAACACCTTTCAGATGCCAGACATTTTGTTCGGCTGTGGAGGTAGGGAAATGAAGTTAAACAGATCCCTTCCCTGGAGCACCTACAGTATGCTAGGAGAGCAATGTGAACAAAATAACTGTAACACATAAGAAAAAAGGTTAATAAGTCAAATCTTCAGGTAGTCGAAAAGCATAAAAATCCACATAACCTGGCAACCGTAATTATAACAAGTTCTGCTATACCCGGTGTCAATGGCACAGAAGGGCCATTTGACAAGGGTCTTGAAGGATCTTCAGAAGTTCAACAAGTTGGAGGAAGAGGAAATGGCAATAAAAACAGCAAAGTAACCACAGAGAAGCCTGGAGTAATGGAGGAACTGGAAAAAGTTTGGTGTTTGTGGACCCAGGGTGCATAGAGACAGGAACGGCAGGAAATGAAGGGAGACAGAGATTCAGGGTGATATTATGAGGGGGCTTGTTCACCTCAATTAGGAGTGGAGGGCAGACTGGTGTAAAGTGCAGAATAGGGGTTGGTTCAAATCAGAGCTCTGCTGCTTACTAGCTGTGTGGGTAAATTAATTCTATGCTTCAGGTCTTCGTTGTCCCATCTATAAAATTAGGATAATAAAACCTACTTTGAAGAGTTCTTCTGAAAAGAATTTGAGACAGCAAATGTGAAAGTGCTTAGCTGCTCCCGGCACATAAAAATCACCCAGAACATTTTGAGGTAGCCTGATTTTACACTGAAGGTTTTAGCATGTAAGATTAGGGTATTAATAACCATAGCAGGGGTGTGGAAGCTAGATTTGAAGGGGATGAGAGTGGAGACAGGAAAATGAAGTAGTAATCTATGGAAATGATGGGGCCTCAACTAAGTCTGTGACAATGTTGTTGCAGAGAAAGGGGATGGGGGTAAATTTTGGAAGGAATGTCTACAGACCTAATGACCAGCTAGATATAAGGTATGAAGGAGAGAGTAGATAGGCATTCCCTGGACTCCATGCTTTCACTGCCGAGGGCCAGAGTTCAATCCCTGGTTGAGGAACTAAGATCCCACAAGCCAAGCCATGCGGCGTGGCCAGAAAAACCAAAAAGGAGAAAGTAGAGAAGGACCCTAGATTTGTCACTTGGTCCTCTGGGATAGATGCCAATGTCATTCATTTAAGTGGGGAACACAGCCAAGTCCAGATTTGAGGAGTAATGAGTTCAAGATCTGACACTGAATTTGATGAAAATGTAAAGCTTTTTTTTTTTTTAGCAAATATTTTTGAGAGCTAACATGAAGGTAATAAAGGATTGACACAGTTCTTGACCTCCAGGGAGCAAATAGTCCCAGGTATGCGGGGGCACAGAGGAAGCCCTTAATTACCATAGGGGACAGAAGGAGACTGTCAAAGAAGTCTTCCCAGTGCATGTAACATGGAAATTGAGGGTGAGGACAGAGTTAATATTACAGATGTGGTGTTCAGGGAAAACATGAAGCAGGGGGAAGGTTCAGAAGTCATTTGTAACCAGATGTGCCAGTTATGGGAGAGTCTGAAGTCAGCCAGAGAGAAAACAAAGACCAAGGATAAAGAGAATTCCCAAGAATGGCATTCAAGTGAAAGATGGAGAAGAAGGAACCATTGACAGATATTGCTTGGGAAGGTGTGAGGGAGTGAGCAAAACATCAGAAGCAAGCACTGCTGCAGAGGGCATCTCTGACATGGGGCATAGTCCTGCCACAGAGAGTAGAAGATTCAAGAAGGAATGAGACTGAAAAGGATTGAGGGCAAGATGAACCTCATGGTGACCTTACCAACAGGAAAAACTAGCAAAAGGGGTGTGAAGAAGGGGCTAGTAGATACAGGTTTCTTTTAGTTGATATTTGAAGAAGAGTGAATGGTAATTACTTCAGGGGTGATCAGGGTCAAGGGACACCACCCAGAATGATGGCTTGGCTGTATCTGTAGGCCAGAGGGAAATGCTTAAAGGCATGTGAGAGAGAGAGGGAGAGAGAGAGAGAGGCTGATGAAGAAAGGTCCCAGAAGAAGAAGAAGAAGGAAGCTTGTGAAAATGACTATACTACCCAAAGCAATCTACAGATTTAATGCAATACCTATCAAATTACCAATGGCATTTTTCACAGAACTAGAACAAAAAATCTTAAAATTTGTATGGAGACACAAAACACCCCAAATAGCCAAAGCAATGTTGAGAAAAAAAATGGAGCTGGAGGAATCAGACTCCCTGACTTCAGACTATACTACAATGCTACAGTAATCAAGACAGTATGGTACTGGCATAAAAACAGAAATATAGAACAATGGAACAGGACAGAAAGCCCAGAGATAAACCCATGCACCTATGGTCAACTAATCTATGACAAAGGAGGCAAGGACATACAATGGAGAAAAGATAGTTTATTCAATAAGTGGTGCTGGGAAAATTAGACAGCTACATGTAAAAGAATGAAATTAGAACACTCCCTAACACCATACACAAAAATAAACTCAAAATGGATTAAAGACCTAAATGTAAGACCAGACACTATAAAACTCTTAGAGGAAAACATAGGAAGAACACTCTTTGAATAAATCACAGCAAGATCTTTTTTGACCCACCTCCTAGAGTAAGGGAAATAAAAACAAAAATAAACAAATGGGATCTAATGAAACTTCAAAGCTTTTGCACAGCAAAGGAAACCATAAACAAGACGAAAAGACAACCCTCAGAATGGGAGAAAATATTTGCAAATGAATCAATGGACAAAGGATTAATCTCCAAAATATACAAACAGATCATGCAGCTCAATATCAAAAAAACAAACAACTCAATAAAAAATGGGCAGAAGACCTAAATAGACATTTCTCCAAAGAAGACATACAGATGGCCAAGAGGCACATGAAAAGCTACTCAACATCACTAACTATTAGAGAAATGCAAATCAAAACTACAATGAGCTATCACCTCACACTAGTTAGAATGGGCATCATCAGAAAATCTACAAACAATAAATGCTGGAGACGGTGTGGAAAAGGGAACACTCTTGCACTGCTGGTGGGAATGTAAATTGATACAGCCACTATGGAGACAGTATGGAGGTTCCTTAAAAAACAAAAAATAGAATTACCATATGACCCAGCAATCCCACTACTGGGCATATACCCAGAGAAAACCATAATTCAAAAAGACACCTGCACCCCAATGTTCATTGCAGCACTATTTACGATAGCTAGGTTATGGAAGCAACCTGTCCATCCACAGACAAACGGATAAAGAAGATGTGATACATATATACAATGGAATATTACTCAGCCATAAAAAGGAACGAAATTGGGTCATTTGTAGAGATGTGGATGGACTTAGAGACTGCCATACAGAGTTAAGTAAGAAAGAGAAAAACAAATATTGTATGTTAATGCATATATGTGGAATCTAGAAAAATGGTACAGATGAACCAGTTTGCAAGGCAGAAATAGAGAACAGAAGTAGAGAACAAACATATGGACACCAAGGGGGGAAAGGGGGGTGGTGGGATGAACTGGGAGATTGGGATTGACATATATACACTAATATGTATAAAACAGATAACTAATGAGAATCTGCTGTATAGCACATGGAACTCCACTTTGCTGTACAGTAGAAACTAACACAACATTGTAAAACAATTATACCCCAATAAAAAAAAATTCAAAAAAAAAAAAAGAAGGAGGAAGAGATGGAGTCAGGCAAATGGGTGGAAGGATGGGTCAAGGCAAAGAAGAATGTCCCCTCTTCTGATGAGAAGGAGTAAAGGTGAGGCTAGGTAAGCTAAGTGACAGGGTGAGCAAGAGAGTGGAGAGGGGAAAAAAAAATCCAGGAGTCCACTGTGTTCTCTGTGAATTAGAGAACCGCGAGGAGGAATGGAATATGGAGTTGGGGAAAGTGGTAATGATGGAAAGAGCGGCAGTGGGTGGTTAGAAAGGGTGCTAATTACAGATACAAATGACTACCTATAAAATAGATAAACAACAAGGTCCTACTGTAGAGCAAAGGGAACTATATTCAATATCCTGTGATAAACCATAATGGAAAAGAAAATGAAAAATAATATATATATATGTATATATATAACTGAATCACTTTGCTATACACCTGAAACTAATATAGCATTGTAAACCAACTGTACTTCAATCAATCAATCAATAAGTTTGTTTTTTTTTAAGGATGCTAATTAGATCCAAGGGAAAGGATGGGTAGAGGGAGGGCATAGCACCTAAAGGCAAGGATCAGCTTGTCTCCAATGGCACAGCTCAATCCCTGAGCAAGGCCGGGGAACAGTGGGTACTGGTTACATGAGAGCCTCAGAAGGGGAGGTGGTGGTGTAGTTGAAGATGTGAAAGGCTGAACGGTGGGTTTAGAAAAGTAAAGGAATGAGAAGTGGAAGGAAAGGAAAAGATTTTGTGTTGAGTCTTATACCTTGGTCTGAAAAGAAGTGTCATTAAGTTTCCAATGGGCATCAGTTACTGGCGAACACCAAGGCCCTTGGCCCCAACCCTTCCTGCCTCCGTAGATGTCTCTCAGCAATGATCTCTTCTCTCTGTTGTACTTTTACCCTCTCATTCTTCTTTCCATCGACGTCATTTAAAAATACTCTAGTTTCATCTTTTAAAAAATTCCTTCCTCAACCCCATGTCCCCCTCCAACTACTCCCCGACCCCTCCCTGGCCATTCGCAGCCAAACTTCTAGAAAGTTGCACAAACCCACTGTCTCCACGTCTGCATTCACCCCCCATTCTCAACTGCTTCCACGTTCCAGTAAATGACCCTCATTAATTACCAGGGTCATTTTACTTGCCAAAGCTAATTGTCCAATCCTCCCTTTTTAGCCTTTTGCACACCTGGCCTCCGGGCAGCGCTGGGCACGCGGAACGAGTCCTTTCTCTTTGAAACTCTTGCCTGGCTTCTGTGATAGCCACTCTCTCTCCTGCTTTCCCCCTGCTCTACCTCTATTGTCATTTTCATTTGAATGTCAGTCTTCACTTCTCTCCGCTTAATCTCTCCGGCCTTCAACCTTCTTAAAGACCACAGCTTTTATTGCCTAACCATCTCCTGAATTCATCCATCCGCTTCATCCCCGTGTCACCGCCCTCCTTCTGTTTCGGGACTTTATATTTCCCCTAGTTACGGACGCGCAGGCTCAGCGGCCATGGCTCACGGCCCTAGCCGCTCTGCGGCATGTGGGATCTTCCCGGACCGAGGCACAAACCCATGTCCCCTGCATCGGCACGCGGACTCTCAACCACTGCGCCACCAGGGAAGCCCTATACAAGAAATCTTTTAACTGGCCTCTCTGGCTCTGGATTTTCCTCCCTCCCGTTCACCTTTTTTCTGAAACACGAATTCGATCCTGCCCCAACGTTCAAAGCTCCCCATCCATTCAGAAGGCAACTCAAACCCCTTGGAATAACACTCCTCCATGATGCGCCCTGCTTCTCACCACCCCTGTTCCCACACCTCCTTCCGGCCAAAGCAAGTCATGAGCCCTCTCCCTTCTTTTGTTCTGGCTCGTCCACCTCCCCTTCACCCTTTCCTGCTAACGCTGACCTTGCTTCCAGGAGTCACCTCGGTGCCCTCCCTCCAGCCTTCCCCGATCCTTTACAGTCCAGGCTGTCTGTGCGACCACCTGCCCCCACGGCAAGCAACGCTGCCCTGCTTCCTGACACTGATCACACCTGGGCTATAATCTCTGACGACTGTCCCCTCTCAGAAGGAAATTCATATTTACAAATTTATAAATTCATGTATTCAGCCACAGGTGGAACACAGACTCAGCTGTCATTTGATTATTAAAATTTAAACATAAAAGCTACCGAATCCCATAATTGACAGCATTTAGCCCATGGAGACGGCAAGAGGTCAGCCTACCCAAATTCCATCCCATTTTCAACTTGTTTTTAATTGCATCCTGGACTGAAAAGGGGAATATGTAGCTTATCCAGAGGCTTCTGAGCTGCCCCTTTCCTCTCTTCCGGTTCTGTTTACTCCTCCCTCACACCCCAGACTCCCCCCTCTTCCTGCCCCAACACAAATTCTCACCACGTGGTCTCACCAGATCCCACCTCCTGCTCCAGCCATAGCAAATCACAGAGTTCCACGGGCGTAGCTTACACTTTATGCATTCACACGCTGCATGCAGCTCTTCCGCCCTCCTACCCACCTGGAAAAATCACTTCAAGCGAAGGAGTGTGAGATAGGTGTGGAAGAATAGGTGAAGCCTTTTTCTAGAACCTTCCAGGTAAAGCCAGGCATCTCTTCTCTATGTACGTACTTCTATTACAGTCCCTATCACCCTGCCCTATGGTTTTTGTCTCTCCCTCCAGACTTGATCTCCCCCACAGCAAGGCTGCATGTGTGTATATAACACTTTTGTATCTCAGCAGTGCCTGGCACTAAAAGGCATCTGATGAACATTGCTGAATTAATTGATTTAGTGGAGGACATTGGAAACAAACAGGTAAATGTCAGCTGTCATTTTGTTCAACAACTCCAGATCTGCTCTCCAACTGGCAAAGCACTTTGACGTACATTACCTCATTCTGTCCACACAGTAAGCCTGTGAGACTCAGGAAGGAGGATGAGGAACCAGCCCAAGTGGCCATAGTGTCAGAAATGGAACAGGAACCCTGATCAATACCAAATTATACCTACACTCATCTGGGTAGAGGCCCAGTGCATATAAAGAAAAAAAAAAGAAAAGAAAAGAGACAGGATAAAAAAAGATGATCAAACAAACTACGGATTTGCTATATTTGTCTAGAACAGAGCTGTTGAATATAAATATAATGTGAGTCTTATATATAATTTTAAACTTTACAGTTTATAGTTGAACTTATAGCCTTGTTAAAAAGGTAAAAGAGGGCTTCCCTGGTGGCGCAGTGGTTGAGAGTCCGCCTGCCGATGCAGGGGACACGGGTTTGTGTCCCGGTCCGGGAAGATGCCACATGCCACGGAGCAGCTGGGCCCGTGAGCCATGGCCGCTGAGCCTGCGCGTCTGGAGCCTGTGCTCCGCAATGGGAGAGGCCACAACAGTGAGAAGCCCGTGTACAGCAAAAAAAAAAAAAAAAAAAAAAGGTAAAAGAAACAGGTGAAATTAATTTTAATAATATATTTTGTTTATCCCAATAGCTATTCAAAATAGTATCATTTAAATGGGTAATAATCCACATTAAAAATCATTAGTGAGATATTTCACATTTCTTACGGTACCTAAGTCTTTGAAACCCAGCGTGTATTTTTCGCTTAGAGCACATCTCAATTCGGGGGCTAAAATTTCATGGGAGATATTTGATCTGCATTTAGATTTCATAAAATTTACAAATAAAAAGGTAGATTCACATATTCAAGTTATTCAAAATATACATAAAAGTTTTTCAGTAACTGAAACAAATATCAGTATTTTTATACTGAAATTTAAAAATTAAAATTAAACAATTTAAAATTCAGCTTCTCAGTTGCACTAGACACAAGTGTTCAGCAGCCACCCATGGCTGGTGGCTACCATGGGGCACTGCGGCTCTAGAAAGCTGAGGCAGCATTTAATCGAAATACTTAAACCCACAGAGGGTATAACCAGCCACTCAGGGGCTAATGGCCTAACGGTGAGAGTTTCTGCTTTAATTTCCTTGAACTGCCCCCAGAGAAGAGTAGGCTCATCTGACTCATCTTTCCCAGAGACAGTACTGACTGAGTAGTTTAAGAAACATTTACATAAACGGAGATGGTTCCCTTGCAGGTTATTAAGTGAAACTAGAAAGCTGAGATTTCTTTTTAATTTCTTTTTAATCTTAGAATTTGATGCCAAGAAAGTTAAACTTGTCAGTTCTGTAGACTCTTGTTATCTCTGTAAGAATGGCATTTGCACCCTCATCACTGAAAACAGGATGAAGCACAAGAAAATGACATCATGTTGTGAAAACCTGTGATGCATTCAGTGATCACAGAAGACATCTCCCAGCTCTGACCGATCATGGCATACATTTGTTTACAAAACAGTTCTTGGAAGTCATTTTATCTAAAACCTAAGGATACCCAGAGCTGCAAAATCAGGTTGAAACCTGAATCTAAGTCACCTGAGCTCTGGATATGAGGCTAGTGTGACTGAGGAACTGAATTTTTAATCTTATCTAATTTTACTTAATTTTTATTTAAAAATTAATACTCGATTCAGTTCACGGCAACCTTTATGTTTATTTGGAATAATCGAGGATGTAAATCCACGTTTCGTCTATAAATTTTATGAACTCTAACTACATTCTCATTCTCTGAGTCACTCAAAGAGTATTTTTATTTTTAAGTGTGCCGGCACGGTGCTGAGCGCTGGGAAGAGATCAGAGACCGAAAGACAGTACTGTCTCTGGGTTGTGGGGTCTTCGGCAAGGCAGACTGACCATCACAGAAAAGGGTTTTGAGAGCTAAGAAAGCACAAAGCAGGAGCCCCTGACCTGGGTGTGGAGGGCAGGAACTGCCGCGGTCCTGCGGCATTTGATGCCCCAGGAAATCTTGATCTTCATGATATCAAAAGAATTTCCTGCTCTAAATACAGATTTCCTGGATATACAAACCCAGTTCATTCATATACAGAAAAATGAACATAAACCAACATCTGATCTGAAAATAAGGCTGCTCATTTTTAATAATATCATTTTTCCACAAGCACATCTTCGGACTCCCTGTGTCATATGCTTTTTCAGTTCTTACAGTCAACAAGGTAGATACTCAGTTATCCCAAATAAAAGAAAACATGAATTTGTTTTCAAGATGGAATCCTTTTTCATTACTAAAGAAATAATCCTGAGTAACAGGCGAGATTAAAAACAGAAACCGACTTTTCTCTACATCATAAGGCAAGCGGGACACAGGGTTATTTCACCAATTATGCTGATATTGCCATTGAAAAGAGTCATTCATCAATGCAAAAAAGTTACAGTACCTTTTGAATGGTTTTATGATCCTTTTCTGCCATCTCTTTCAGACTTATAATTTCATCTTCTGTAAACAAAAGGAGAGAGAGGCCAAGCATGAAATTACAAGCTTATGGCCCTGTATTCAATCTGCCTGCTTCAGGGCAGGCTGTACACTGCTGGCAGGCATGGTGGACGCAAGTCCTAGCAGGACTGTGACCTTCACAACTGCCCTTGACATTCACAGCCTTCTTCCTGCTGTTCAGATGGCTGGTCAGATAGGGATTAAGAACTAAGTTCAAGATCCAAGTGTGGCTCAGGGTTGAAAGCTTTTCATCGATACTAGCAAGAGATATTTCTGCTGTTAGTCACAGCCAATACAAACGGCTTTAGCAGGTGGTACTTTATGACTCAGTAAGAACTACCGAAACCTGAAAAAGCATTACTATACCACATCAGAAGAGAAACGAAACTACACTGACGTGGTATAATTTTACATTCAAGGAATATTGTCCTATATCTGATTGTATCAATGTTTTGCTGTAAATTTTGAATTGCCTACTCATAGCTTTTCATACTGCAGATTAAGGATATCATTGTGTGACTAACATAAATACAAAGATAGCAGTACATGTAAAGACGTTAAAGCAATCTAACTTGGTGATTTAAATGCAATATTTACCAATGTTTATAGATATAAAAAAGAGGGTATAAAGTCTACAAATGGAAATTTGTACTTAACATTTGTACCAAAAATTGAAGATAATGTAGTAAGTAGTAGCATATTTTTCTGAAGGGCCAACTCTGTTTCTCCACAAAGCACACCCCAATATATATGCTTAAATATTAAAATGTTATAAATTTTAGATAATTAAGCACATGAAACAGAAATCAGCACAAGTTTCTATTTGTTTATAATATTTCTAAGTGATATAGAATACTGATTAGCACAGTGCTTGGCTTAGAAAACAACCACCCTGAGTTAAAAAGGCATGGCTAGGGGAGTATGACCAATTTCTGTCTCAAGAAAAGAATGAAAATGAAAAGTGGCTAACGAACTGATGTTTTAAATGTAGGTAACCAAACAAACATATGTTTGGAAAAGACAAGCATGGCTATGAATTTTATAAAGTGCCCAATGTAGAGTTTTCTCAAAAATGACTTTAAAATGTTACCTAATAATGAATTTTCTTTTAGATTGAGTCGGATGTCTTCTTCGAGTTCTGAAATGACTTGAAGCAGTCTCTCATTTTCCACTTTGTACTCCAAATTTTCCTTTTCCAGAGCTGTTCTTAGAGGGCTGTCGTCTTTGATAAAAGAGTCCTAAAAGATGGAGAATTCCATATTTCTAAGCAGGGAGCCAAGGATTTAAATATGCAACACAAGACAATACAGATACAGAAGAGCTATCATATAATTTTCTGAATTCTATTACACACTTATAATATGAATAGTAAAAAGGAAGGAGACTAAATAGAGCTTGCTGGGAGAAAGGCTGCAGTACATTCTGTACAAAGACCACAGCACATGGGGACAGTTTATTGACAGGAATAATGCATATCATACTGTTTGTGTGCCCTCATCATTCAGGTCAATTCATTATGGAGGCAGCTGGGGCCCCTCCACCCACACTTCCCTCTGTGTGTGTCTGAAGTGCTGTCCGCCCGTAACCAGGCAGGCTGGGGAGACCGCGGATGGGCAGCAGCCGGGGGGGGGGGGGGGGGGGGGGGGGGGGGGGGGGGGGGCAGCAGCGCCGGGGGGGCGGGGCAAAGCGCACGGCTAAGGAGGGGGGCTTGTCGCCTTTGTGGCATTCCCCAGTGTCAGTGCTGCCAGTGTCATGAGGAGCACATCACATGTCAAAGTGGTGACGTTTTCAGGCTGGGAGCCGCATGGAGTCCATCAGGCACACGGATAACCACACAGTTGGTTTTCTGCTTGGTGAAGGAGCCACCCAGAGGCAATTCATATTCTGAACATTAACGTGGCTTTGCATGCCTGTCACACTGGGACTGTGCAGGCGTTTAATGCTATTGAGGACTTCGGTTTAAATCTCTATGCAAACAGTGATTACCTTGTAAGAAGGTTTCAGGATAACTTACAACAAAAGACTTTAAAGTTATAGTTTTAGTAAAGCAAACTCATTTACATTTTTATTATGTGCGTCTTTTGTTTAAATCTTGCCATGTCCATTATGGGAGAAGCTTTTTCTTACGCAGTAGAAGCTTATGGGGACAGCTAGTCTTCTTTTCTTCTTCTTCTTCTTGTTTGTTTCAAAGCTTTTGAAAACATCTGAATATGCTTGCTTATGGCTGTCTAGATTTTATTGCCGCGCTTTTTTTTTTGAATTAAGATGTAATGAATTGGAGAAGCTGGTGCAGAACTTTATACTTCATGATGATACAATATTAAACTGATTATGCAATCTCAAAATATTAAACAGCATGTTTGAAAGTCATTGTATTGTTACACTAAAAGAGAAAAGCGTCTACATGCCTTCCTTCAAAATTAATATAGACACTAGAAATACTTTTGAACTTTAATCTTCAGGTGAATTATAAGCTATTCTTTTTGTAGCAATGCCATGATTGCAAATACACAAGAATAAATTCTCCTCTCAAAAACAAAACCATTCCTCCCAATATAACTGGTGTCCCTTTGAAACTATACTTTGATTTAACTTTAGAGATATTTGAAAGTAAATTATTAAAAATGTTTTCCTCTGTGGTTATAATGGTTAAAAAGAAAAATAAGTGGGTACAATGTTTTATAGTACATGAATAAATCCTTGAAAAACAACAAGTGACTTACTAATGAAGTTAGTTATATCAGAGTTAATATTTAAAATAATGTTAAATTTTGCACTAAGCCCAATTATGAATCTTCATGATTTTGAGTCACCATTCATTTAAATTATTTAACCCCAATTCATTCTTAACTAACAAATCTAATAGCTAAGAAACAACACTGTTTTCTTAATAAAGAATCCCAGTCATTAATTTCTTGTCCCACATGGTTCAACTTGAGAACATCACAGAATGTATTTATAGACTAAAAAAGCTTTCTTAAAGACAAACAACATTTGCCTTAATAGGCTTAAGCATACATTTCCTAACAGTGGCAGAAAATGAACATCCACTGTGGATTACGTGAGCGCTCATTATTATAAACTAATCGAGAACTATTTGAATTAATCAGATGAAGTGTAAAATTTACCAGTGGTAGCAGCTAACACCTAAGTGCGTTTTCTAAAAATCTGGTAGAAAAGCAGGAAACAAGGAAACACGTCCAACTCGAGGGGTTTTTTTCTCCACAAATCCATCGACAGCCCCTCTTCCTGAAAGGTTAACCTTTAGCTCTGTCCCCACCATCTGTCAGCTGCAGGAACTGCAAGTAATTAACTATTCAGATTCTCACAGCAATGAGGACACTCATTAGCAAAATGAACAAAGGGATAGTTCTGGGCGGCTACGGTCATCTGTTACACTCTGAGTGGCAGGTTTTGTGGTGGTGTTCCTTCGACCATCTGCCCACACCACTAGCTTTGGCTCACTTAAACCATGAGACTTCTTTAAAACAAACTGCATTAACAAACCGAAGTTAAGAAGGATGGAGATCATTAAAAGGTGGTTAACTGGGCTTCCCTGGTGGCGCAGTGGTTGAGAGTCCGCCTGCCGATGCAGGGGTCACGGGTTCGTGCCCCGGTACGGGAAGATCCCACATGCCGCAGAGCGGCTGGGCCCGTGAGCCATGGCCGCTGAGCCTGTGCGTCCGGAGCCTGTGCTCCGCAACGGGAGAGGCCACACAGTGACAGGCCCACGTACCGCAAAAAAAAAAAGGTGGTTAACTAGTTAAAGCTATTAAAAGCCACATTATAGCCTAAGACAGGCTGTGTGTGATCCACAGTCACTCTGGAAATTTAAATTTATAAAGTAACTTGCCAGTTTAGAGTTTTTCTATCGTGTAGTGAGCGCCAGGACTTCAAGTGGTGGCTTACATTGGTCTACTTCTCTTGTGAGCCAAGATGTGCAGTATCACTGTTCCCAGGTTTCAGAATCCCAAACTGAGTCATGAAAGAATCGTTTCTGAAAACAGGTGTGCTCCAGAGCCTTGACACTCAAAATGTGGTCCAAGGACCAGGAGCCTCAGCATCACCTGGGAGCTTTTTGAAAATGCAGAATCTCCAGCCCCAGCCCAGAATCTGTATCTTAACAAGAGCTGCAGGTGACCCATACACACAATAACACAATAAAGGCCGAGAAGCACCGTTTGGAGCACCGCAGGTGCCTTCCCAGCAGGCTCCCTTCTGCCATTTTGGCGTCTCAATCCTGCAGGCTCCACGTACAGTACTTAGACATCTCAATTTGAGGCTGCGGGTGGAGTGGGCTTCTGCTGCATGCCCATGCTGCATGGCAGTCACGGAGACGAGCAGGTGCTTTCCCAGTGAGTGACAACCAGGAAAGCGGCACACTGGGGCAGTGTAGCCCTGCAGAGCTGCCACTTTTGAATGACAGCTCTGTTTCAGAACTGTCAGCAACAAATAGTTACATTCACCTGTTGGTGGGGGTGAGGGGATGTGGGTGTGATAGTTGCATAGATCATCCATGTTGGGTAAGAAACAAAAATGAAAAATCTTTTCAAAACAACTCCAATTGCACTGAAAGCACGTATGCATGTGCCTGGGCACACAGACACACAGGCACACATACCTCGACAGGCTAGTTTCTTTAGCAATTCTCCAGTGGATTTATCAGCGTACTGCATGGCAACCTGATAACTACAGCAGTGTGCCATTAAGTCATTGCAGGTTTTTACAGAACCTGAAAAGACACTCAGCCCTTGAATGTAGTTGGTCTGGGGTCGGGGTGGGAGTGGGGGCGGGAATTCAACATTAAGGGTGTTCTGACCTGGAGAGATGAGGCTTCTGGAACTTGAAGAGATTCTTTTTTCTGATTTCCATTTTGTCATAAATATAAGTTAAACTAGCTGTTTATTAAACCTTCCCTTTCCTATCATATTCTTAGATTTCATTCTACAACAGTCCTAGAGAGGGATTATGACTATTAACTATAGAGCGATTTATATAATTGGACTATGAGAAAGAACTAGAGCGTTTCCTTACTGTTTATTCAGTTTGCTTATTTCAAGCTTTTTACAAGTTTTTTCCATTGCTGCATTGAAATTTTCTAAATTGTTTCTCCAAATTCGGTTTTCCAAATCTAGTTTCAGATACTTGCTGGCGCAAGTTTTTTTACACCACTAGAGGGAGCAGTCGTATTAGATGAAATTTCAAATTTAAAAGGTAATTCACCTAGAACTTGAGTGGCATGGAGTTCTAGGAAAGCTAGTTCTTAGAGGATCTTTAAAAAGAAATTTTCAGACGTTTATATTATATAACCCGTGATCTGCTTTTGCAGTGTTCATGTCCGTCCTCCCAAATGTACACTAGCCCTGCTCTGCGCTGTCCTCAGTCAGCCTGGCGCTTTGCTGGGGTCCTAAGAAGCTGGGAAAAATGTATATACCCAGTTCATCAGAAGTCTCACTTTCCTCAAATCTTAAGGTGTTTACAGAAAGACTGATGTGGTGTCCTTGGGGACAAACTACAGTGAAACAGCCAAGGTCTTCAGGATGCCAGAGAACCAGAGAACCGAGCCAGAGAACGCCTTCTTATACAAGAGCGGGGTGCAGGCCTGCCACTTTCTGTGGTCCTCACCAAGTCCCATCCACCCTCATCCCCTATACTCAGGCCATCCAGACAGACCAGTTAACGGGCTGAGGACACTCAGAGGTGTAAACACACCAAGAAAGACCTCGTGTTTTACTGGAAGAAGCTCAATTACCGAATTGGGATGTTCTCAGCAGTGCATTTCATGGAATGTAAACCAGATGGTCATGAGGACTTGTGTATTTCCTCATAATGATAACTAGAATTTATATGCACGTCTTTCTTCAAAGAACTCACAGCATTTCACATCCACTACAACGGGTATCCTCCTCATAACTCTGTTGGCTAGGCAGGTATCACCTCCCATTTCACAAATGGGAAACAAATGGATCAAAATTGCCTTGCTAACTGATGCTGGACATTGGTAGCCAAGTCAGGATTAAAAGCCAAAACTGTTAGTCTTATTTTAACCTTTTCTATTAAATTATTTTCTCCAAAAAATAAGAGTAAATGTAGATCTAAGACAAGAAAAGTAAATGCAAAAATTGGATGTGCCTCTCCCTCCAAGGCAACCAGAACATATACAAAGAAATAATATTCAATTTTATTAGGTCTATGATAATAATCCTTAATACCACATTGCTTAGAAGATGCTCTGGTTTTTTTAGAACATAGAGAATTCTAATAGATTAAACAAAGCACTCCTTCCCCCGTTCGTAAATAAAGTCCTTTAGAATGGCGCAAGTTCAATTTCTTATCTTTTCTAACTTTGGGGTTTTAAGTAAGAATACTAGTGTGGGACTTAGATAAACCAAGGACTGCACTTAAAGGGCCCAGCAAACCATAAGTGTTTCTTCCTAGTGTTAACACTTTGATGTATAACTTCTCAGGCTTCTTCCATACATATATATGCATGTGTCGATATTTATGCATATCTATACACAGGTATTAATATACACTATATATTAATTATAACATACATTATAATGATATACCTATAGACCATAATACCATAATCTATTATAATATAATGTGTGTGTATATATATATATATATATATATATATAGCAACTTTAATTCTTCCTCTATACAGAGCTTCTCCCTCCTCATGCGGGCCTTTGGGTTCAGCTGGACCTCGGTTCTCATGTCACGTCAGCATTTACCAGCTGTGCCCGGGGTGTAAGTCAGCTTCCTTATCGGTAAACTGCACTGTGATGTGAGGAGGTAACCCTGCCAGTTGACACTCAACAGGTTGTGATTCTCTGGCCTCCCTGCTTGCCTCTCCTACTCAAACAATCCACTTCTTGCTCCTAGAACCTAATACGAAAACCCCTCTATGGCTCTGCGCTGTGGTTGGGCAGTACAGCCGGCAGCTCAGAGCTGATCTGAGATGAAAATAAACTCTCCTCTAGGGTCCACACTTTCCGGATCCTTCACATTCACCTCCTTGACAGGCAGCTAAGCTCTCCTTTCTGCTTTCTCTCTCTTTGCATTTTTTGTTCTGTCAGTGCTCTGAGCAGTAAAGCAGCTTCTGGCTCCTACTGCAAAGGGGAGAAGAGGGCAAAAACCCTCTGAGAATTTTCCTTCTTGACATTTCCACTTAAGGTCATCCTGTTCCAAGTTGGTTTCTTGGAAGCCTCTGACTTGAGATTGTTTTGTGTCTTTCAAATTATCTGGACTGCAAAAAAGGTGGGACTCTTCCAAATTAAAACAAAAATCTCTTTACATTTCTTCTAGGGTGGGGAAATTTCTGTAGTGGGAGATAGGTTATTTTATTTCTATTACAAATAAAAATTGAGAACAATTATATTGCTCCTACTTATAATTATTATGGGTTTTCTAGAATATGGTGTCGAGTGCAAAAAGGTTGGACTGGCTTATGTTGTGGAGAGATACCCAAGATACATGCATTGTAATCTCTTTATTCCGACCCCAAGCTTTTAGACAGTTGTAACTTCATTTATATGTATTAAAATGAATTACTCTTTGCTGTGAAACTTACAACTTTTTGAGATCCAAATTCTTCACACTGGTCCAGTTCTTCTCTTAATTCCTTAATGAGTTCTTCTTTCTCCTTCAGTTTTTTTAACAAAATATTCATTTTGACAGTCATTGCGTCATGCACAGGTGTCTTCTCTTCTTCCACCTCAAAGAATTTCTGGGGGGAAAAAGCAGCATTAAAAGTCAGACACTATGCTAGCACCAGCAGAAACCATTTCATGTTTTATTCAAGCTCCTGTCTTGTAAAGTTATTTTATTTTTGCAACTGGCACACAAGTTTTAGTAAACAACTATGCTTATATTGAACAATACACTGAAGTGTCATGGTATACGGCACAGTATTATTCTATGAGACAAAGCATGAGTCTGACTGCGTCAGCCATGCCAGTAATAATAATAATAGTAAACCTCAATAGGAAATCCACATCATGATTGTGAATGTGCTACCTCAATCTTCTTCTACAAAGGAAGCCAGCAAAAATTTTGACGATGTAAGAAAGGAAATGCACTTCAGCGGTGCAACTAATTCCCTCAGTGGTTTGGAATGGAGATGTGAACAAAAGAAGAACCATTTCTTGACAGCCTATTTTAAGCATTGAGGTGCTAACCTATTTGCAGCCATTGCTCTGAAGAATTGTATCACAAGACCAAAACAAGGAAAAATGCTTTAAAAATGATGCCGTGCTTTACTGCCGACATATAAAAATCTCATTTTCAACACAGACATGCAAAAGCATCTTGTCCATTTTGGACTCTGTGAATTACAGAGTGAATTACAGCATCTGTGAATTACAGAAGAATTATTTTATTTTTATCATTTGTTTGTTACTAATACGTTTGGACACATGGACATACAGGAAATATAGTAAAACCTAACCATATCTGCTAATATATTATATTTCAAAGAGTTAGATTTACAAACTAAAATTGTTCTAATGTTATACAATGAACACCGGCAGACTGAGAAGAATAATAATACATCGAGGTAGCATTAAGAGTCAAGCTAAGGGCATAACACTGACACAGTCTACACCACACTGATGAAAAACATCAGTAAGTGAATATGCAGTAGAGTTAAAAAGAGTGAAAACAGAACAATCCATATGACAATATAGCTTTCTAATTGGGAGATTTTAAAGAACAGCACTGAGTATGTAGATCTATTTTTCACATCTACTCTGTTTATGTCTACAGTTCAAACGCTCTGCAGAGACTAAGTTACCCCTCTGGTGCTCTGGGTGTAAGTGACAGGGCAGCTCAAATCCAACAGGTCTGAGCGGAGGTTGCCCATCTTCACTCTCCTCCTTTCTACCTTCCCCATTTATAACAGCAGCCCAAGCCAGAAACCGATTTTCTGTCATTTTAAGGACCCCCTCCCCCCTCACCTCACCAAATCCGTTCAACCCACCCCTAAATCACTCCCGAGCCCACCCTCCCCTTCCCTGTTCCCCCGCCTTCACGTTACCACCAAATCCAGGGTCCGCTCGCCCGCACGCAGCAAAGCCGATCTACTGACACCTGGTTGCGGTGCCGTGTGTTTATTGTCAGGCGCCGAGCCGGGAGTCCGGGACAGCTAACGCTCAAAAAACCCGAGCTCCCTGATGGGATTCAGCAAAATATTTTTAAAGGCCAGGTGAGGGAAGGGAGCCCAGGATGTGCGATCAGCTCGTGCACCATTCTCAGAGTGGCTGACGGTGAGGTAGTGGGGGTGGGGTGGGGGTGGGGGTGGTGTCACAGGGGTTAATATTATCAGTCCTTAGGCTCCAGGAGGCCTGGGGGCTGGGTGCTCACGGTCATCAAGTGGTTAACATCTTCCATTTGGTGGAGGTTTTAGCATCTGTGAAACAACTCAGGAAATGTGCATCAGATAATGTTATCTGGGTACTTCAGAGAGGAGCGATAGCAGGGGACCTGGGGGAGGGCTCTGTCCCAGGAATGCCCCCTAGGGTCCTGCTCAGCTACAGTCGGAGTCCTTGTCTTCACCTGGACTATTGTACTAGCCCTTAACTCACCTCCCTGACTCTTCTTTTGTCCTCTCCAACCAATCTCCACCCTGTGGCCAAACCGATCTTTCTAAAATGCAACTCTCCCCGTCCCCGTAGGCTAAAGTCCAGGTCCGTTAGCACAATGGACAACATGGTACCCCTGTTGCTCTGCTGCTGGCTGACCTGGCCCCTGACTCGTGCCAGCCTGCTGTCCCCTTGCCCCGCCAGACTGGGCATTTAATCAGTGCTGATACTCAGCCGGCGATTTCTCAGAAGCACTGTGGGACCACAGGTCTCCCTGTACGTGGAATTTCTAGGCCACCTAATAAGCTCTTACTTGTCAATCTCCTGAATGGCATGAGAATAGGTTAGCCTGCGCCTGAGGACCAGCTCTGTCACTTAGTAGCTTTGTGAGCTTGAACAAGTTTCTCAAATCCCCTGTGTCTCAGTTTTACCATCTGTAAAATGGGACAAACAATAACACTATCTGAATTGTTGTGAGAATTAAATAAGATAGTGCATGTAAACAATTTTGGACAGTGTTTACAGCACCGTCAGCTCCCAGTATTATATCTCAGCGTTTATTATTGTTGTTACTGTTTCTCATCCAAACCCAGATGTCACCTGCTCTGGGAAGCCTTAGCACCCCTGCCCTGCCCACCTGCCTTCCACTGCTCTGTGCTTTCTATATCTTATAGACATTCTTCTTGGGTCCATTTGTTTATTACTTGTTTTTTGCTCACTAATCTTTATGTTCTGAATAGGATGGATTTATTTGTCCTCCTAAAAAAATAGCAAAACAAAGATGCTCCTGACAAGCTGGCCAAGTCACCTCCTTTATAACACAGCACAAACGACCTCTGGGAGCTCATTTAAAATCCCACCAGGAGGGCTTCCCTGGTGGCGCAGTGGTTGAGAGTCCGCCTGCCGATGCAGGGGACACGGGTTCGTGCCCTGGTCCGGGAAGATCCCACATGCCGCAGAGCGGCTGGGCCCGTGAGCCATGGCCGCTGAGCCTGCGCTTCCGGAGCCTGTGCTCCGCAACGGGAGAGGCCACAGCAGTGAGAGGCCCGCGTACCAAAAAAAAAAAAAAATCCCACCAGGAACTGGGCTGAGATGCTGCACACACATGGCATTGCTGGGGTCAACCTGCCTTCAGGATGCACTCGTGCCCTCTGGACTTCAGGGCAGCGGAGGCCACAGTTCGTTGGAAGAGAAAGAGTTTCACTTTTGACATTTCATAAAGTAATCGTAAGGCCCAAACACATTGGATTCATTTCTCTTCATCTCCAGGAATGTTTCTGATGTTTTACTAGTGTTTATTGAATGAGCTAGGCTCAAGAGGAGGTGAGCAGAAAGCAGGGTTTTGTTTTCACCACCCCTTCAAATCTGATATCCTGTCTCATGTTTCAGTCTCTTAGAAGAGCTCTCGGGAAATTGCCATGACCTTTTTTTTTAACTTTTAGATAGCAGCGAAAACACAGAAAGAAAGAGAGAGACAGAGAGAGAGAGAGAGAGAGGGAGAAAGAGAAAGACAGAGAGAGAGAGAGAGAAAGGAAGGAAGGAAGGAAGGAAGGAAAGAAAGGAAGGAACGAAGGAACGAAAGGAAGGAAGGAAGGAAGAAAGAGAAAGAGAAAGGAAGGAAGGAAGGAAGAAAGAAAGAAGAAAGAGGGAAAGAAAGAGAAAGGAAGGAAGGAAGGAAGAAGGAAGGAAGGAAAGGAAGGAAGGAAGGAAGGAAAGGAAGGAAGGAAGGAAGGAAGGAAGGAAGGAAGAAAGAAAGAAAGAAGAAAGAGGGAAAGGAGAGGAAGGGAGGAAGGAAGGAAAGAAAAAAGGAAGGGCCAAAAAACTTAAAAACCCCAAAACTCAACCCCCCAAATTCCAATCCAGCTGACTCTTACCCATCAAAGCTCCTGACCTTTCCCAGTCCCAGCCTCCCGTACACTAGCAGCCTGCAGGGGAGGAGAGGGCTTGAGCCTGGCTTCCTTTTCTAGTATCCAGAGATTTGGTCAAACACCAGCCTAGATGTTGCTGTGAAGGTATTTCCTATGTGAGGTTAACATTTAAATGAAGAGACTTTGAGGAAAGCAGATTATCCTCCACACTGTGGGTGGGCCTCATCCAATCAGCTTGAAGGCCTTCAGAGAAAGACTGAGATTCCCAGAGGAAGAGGGAATTCTAACTGCAGAGTGTCTTCAGACTCGAGCTGTAACATCAGTTCTTCACTGGGTCTCCAGCCTGCCAGCCTACTTTTCAGATTTCAGAATTGCCAGCCTCTGGGACCACAGAAGCCAATTCCTTAAATCTCCATCTCTCTCTCCCCCTCTCTCTCCCCACACACCCTACTGGTTCTCCTTCTCTGGAGAATCCTAATATCTACAACGAAAGAACATACATTCACACAATGCCTCCCACTCCAGCCCAGCACCACAGCATTTACTACGTATGGCTCGTCTCCTTTCCATAGTACAGTGCCTTCTCTGGCAGTTAAGAACTGGTGCCCATGGTGCTTGAGGCACTGACATCTGCTCCATCCTCCCTCCCTTCATGTAACTGATCTTCTGACCACACTGCACCCTGAGAGCTTGGCTCTGATGCAGGGCACAGGGAGGGGAAGGAGGCAGGAGTGTGTCTTTGGTCTTTTAATTCACGAGGGCAAGAACATTTTATTTTGGACTTTAATTCTTTTCTTACAAGAAAATTTAATATTTAATTTTTCCTTTGGCAGTCGAAAGTAGGGGGTTAATATTCAAATCTGTTGATTTGATGTAACTGTTGGCTTTTTATTATTAGAATAATTTTATGATGCTATTTGACCTCATGGGCAAAACCTCTTGACAGACAATATTGGTCAACACAGCTGGATGTAATCTGGGGTGAGAAACAGACTAGGAAGTAAATTCTCAGTAGGGGATACAAAGTGACCTTGGAGTTTAATGCAAATGATGCACTCTTCTAACCCGATGCTGAGTCTTCTGGGTCACCAGCAGCCTCGGGATCCCCAGAGGAGCGGTGGTTGGTATTGGGGGGGCTGCATCATGAAGGTGGGAGCAGGGCTTTCCTCTCCCCCAAGGCTCAGACCCACGCCTAGTTGATCACAGGCTAAACAGTTAAGTTTAATGTATTAAGAGAAGAAGAAAAACCCAGGGAATGTTGTTTCCTTCCATGTGGAGTG